GTGCTCCTCCCCTCAGCCTCCTGAGTGCTGGGATTACAGAAGTGCGCCACCATGCCAGGCTTTAAAGGAGGCTATTAAATGTATCCTCTGAGCTATGATGAGAAATAAATGAGACAATGTAGTTTCTGGTTCTTGAAAGCAAAATGAATACATGTTTGTTTCTCATTTCTCCCCAAAACACATTAAAGACTAAAAATATAAAAGAAATGTCAGCAATAGCAAAAATGTGAGAATAGGCCCATCACCTGATGAGACTTCAAAGGATATAGAAATCAGAAGATAGACTAGAGTGAAAAAAGGAATGAAAAAGCCATAGTCCAAAATATGGATAGAGGTTAAACCTATGTGCCCTTCAGAATCATGGGGTTTCAGGGAAACAAAAGGCAGAAGTGAAAAATGAGGCAGGAAATAGGGAGATGTGCTTGCCTAATGTCTCTTATGGAGTACAGATACCCAGGTAAAAAGACTCCAAAGCTTTTCTATCCAAAACAAAACAAAACAAAACAAAAAAATAAAATAATCAAAGGGCTGGGGATTTAGCTTAGTGGTTCTGCCAACTGCCTCACAAGTGCAAGGTCCCAAGTTCGATCCCAGTACAAAAAATAAAACAAAAAAACAAACAGAACCCCAAAAACCAAAAAAAGCATTTCTATAAAGAAATAGAACAAACCTATCAGGAAGATCTATGGCTTTACTATAGGTGTTGGTCGTCCAGAAAAAGGAGTCCTCATTTTGGCATTTTAGCAGCCTATTCTGTGCACCACATAAACCGCAGAAGGTTGAGGATGCGGCAGGGTGAACACTTACCTAGCATGTGCTAGGACCTGGGTTCAATCCCTATCAGCACACAAACATTTGCAGCACCACAGCAAACTCATAGAGATATGTGGACTGTTTTATGGTTTGTTTTGAGACAAGGATTTGCTATATAGTTCAGGTTGGCCTTGAACTCACAATGTAGCCCAGTCTGGGCTTGAACTCACAGTGATTCTCCTGCCTCTGACTTCAGAGTGCTAGGATTATATGGCTGTATACCACAATGCCCAGCTCACATGAACTCTTTTTTTTTTTTTGGTACCAGGAATCAAACTCAGGACCTTGCACTTGCTGGCAGGTGCAGCACCACTGAGTTACATCCCTGTCCCTGAATTATTTTAACTCTGAAAGTCACATAAAATCTTTCAGACAACATAATCTACTACCTTAAAGATGTTTGGACCTTACAGAAGATTATTACTTTTACATGAAGGGTATCATGAAAAAAAATTACAGAAACACTAAGGGTGCTACAAACCCAGAGTGTCTGGTACTCTCTGTTCTAAAACAAAGAATAGGACCAGGGATTTAGCTCAGTGGTGCTGCCACCTGCCTCGCAAGCATAAGGTCCAGAATTTAATCCCTGGTACAAAAATAAATAAATAAGTAAAAAATAAAACAAAGTATACTTCAACCATATCCAATTCAGGCAGTCTTCCTACTCAAAATAACCAGCCATTCATTCTTAAATATAAGAGGACAACGAGGTATCACCCAACATAAGGAAAATTAGGAGGGAGGGAGGGAGGCAGGGAAGGAAGAGGGCAGGGAGGAAAGATTCAGAGAGGGAAGGAGGAAGGGAGGGAGGGAGAAGGAGGGGAAGAAAGACACAGAAACAAAGGGAGGGAAAGAGACAGACAGACAGACAGAGAGGGAGGAAGGGAGGGAAACTGACCCCGTCTCAGAGGAAATATATACTGTGATTTAGAGAAAAGAAAATTAAAAATCTTTCTCATTCATCTAAGATCTCAGATTATTATACCCATAAAATAACAAGATGCTATGATAGAGGGTTACTCAGAAAAAGAGTCCTTTTAGACTAGTATACGAGTCTCTAGATTATAAGGATCCACCAATTACCAAGGCCATCAAAAGATTCACACTTAGGTATATTATAGTTCAATTCAAAAGTACCAAAGAAAATCTTTCTAAAAGTTCCATAGAGGGGGACAAAGTCACTTAGAAGAAAATTAGATCAGGGTCAAATTTTTCATCCATGATGTAGACCAGAAGACAATAAAGAATATTATCAATGACGTGAAAAGCTACTATAAAGTTCCATATCCAGTCAAAGGATGAATAAAGTGAGACACTAAATTTATATTTAGATACTGTATATATGAACAGTCCCTTTTTGTACTCTTTCATGAGAAAATATTGGGAAGATGTAGTTCATTAAAATGAATGAGAAAGAAGATATAGGCTACAGAAAACAGTAGATCTAATCCTAGACATGGGATGAAAATAAATCCCAGAATAAGAGCAAATTCAGATGAGAAAAGGAAGATGGGGAAGCCCTAGAAGAAGGTCCAAGCTTTGGAGGAGATGGATTCCATCCAAGTGTATTTCAAAAGATACAAAAGCCTGAAGATGTGATGAAAAAACACTCTTTTGTCAATAGGGGGAAAAAAAGAAACTCTAGGACAATCAAAAGCAACACAAAAAAGATACAGTACAAATAAACAAACAAAAATGGCCCAACTTTAAGCCCTTGATGGGATTTAAGAAAAGTGTCCACCTAACCATGAGATTAGAAAATTTCTCCCTTTGAAGAGAAATTTTTCCCTTTTGTAAGTAACACTGGGCCTATTAAATATGATCTATAATCCTAGTACACTACCTGACTGAGGTGAACAATATAGTTATAATAATAAATACTATTTATTAATTTCAATTTTTAGAGCCAATCTTTGAACAAAATACTGAAGATATAGTTGCAGAACAGTGAGTTGTACAGGTCCTGTTAATGTAAAAGTAAGACATGCAGTTAACAAAAAGTATGAAGTGGAAGGCAAGCCCAGAAGTTAAAAGTTTCCACTGAGGTGAGAAAGCACAACAGATAACCTTAGCAGGTATATCAGTGTCAACACACAAAATTACTGGTCTTAATATTTTCTTAAGTCCTTCAGCTATGCAGGGCTGAATAAGTCAGTTATCTTCCACTAATACACTCACACTGTCACACACACACACACACACACACATACACACACAAACGCTATATTCTAACATGCATTTTCCAATAAAGTTCTACTTTAAAACTTTCCATTCTGGTTCACCAGTATAGTCCCAGGGTTGCCAAAACTTTCTGTGAAGGTTTAAGCCAGTGGTGGTGAACCTATGGAACACATGCTGCAGCAGGCAGAGTTCTCTCTGTCGGTTGGCAATCCAAGATGCCCTAGCCAAGGTTTGACAAATTATTAGCAACAATTTAACAGCATGCATTCAACAGCAAAGACCACACTAATTGTGCAAAATCACACCAAATGCAAACCTTTTACCTTTCAATAAAAAGCTGTTTGTATCATTAAAAGCTTTGTTGTTGTGTCTTTAAGATAAAAGATGTTAATGTAGGAACGATCTTTTTCTAAACTAAAACCTCAATATTCAGGTTTAACTGCAGTGCTGGCACTCTGCAATAAATAAGTGGGTTTTGGGTTGCATTTGGGCACTCCGTCTCTAAAAAGTTTGTTAGCTATCACTGGTCTAAGTCGTATCTTCAGCTAATGTGGCCCAGATGGCCTCCAAAGAATTTTGTTTGCACCCCAAAGGCAGTGTCCTGCTTCCCAGCCTTAGATCTACCACACTTAGGGAACTTTTCCACCACCCACTGGGCTATAACTATAACTCCTGTAACAACATGGGAATCTCAGATTTGGAAGAGAGGGCCCAATTTCAAATTTGAACCTTAGATATCGTACCTAAGGTCTAAATGTAGTAACTGCTTATATTTTCTATTCCTGCATTTTTAAAATCTTTTTACCTTACCATTTGCCCTTAATAGTTAATTCCCTGTTAATCATATTAAAATTTCCCTGTTCAAATTACTGTGTAGTTTCTCTTTCAAATGGGTCCTGACATATACTTCAGTAACTGAATGAAATATATGTGGTTAAAATAGTAATCAAAAGTAGAGATTGTCTGATTGGATAAAATAAATGCAAAATCGAAGTAGATGATATTTATGCGATATCTACCTTAAATATAAAGACAGATAGCCATGAATGGATGGAAAAAGGTACACCATTCAAACAGCAAAAGAAAGTGGTAGGCTGTTATCAGGAATAAAGGATGAACACTTTATAATGATAAAAGGATTAATTCATCAAGGAGATATAATATTTACTGAGTGCACGCACTTCAGGCACTGTGTTCATTCTCAAATTTGTGTAACTCTATAAGACAGTATGAATATATCCATTTACATATGAGGAAAATATATCAAGGGAACAATTTAGATTAAAAGTTAATCTGAGCTCTTAAAACTATACTGCATTAACTCTAATAAAAAGGTTACTGAAAAATATTCACAGTAGGGGTGAACTTTTGTAAAAAAACAAACATTCACGCATAAAAGTGGCACGAAAGTTTTGTAAACCAAACTATTAACAGTTTTATCAATAATAGTTAAGTGCTAGTGCTACCAATGAACTTTATACCCTCGGCACCTGTACTTTTTTTTCAATTATAAATACGTAACACTTGTGCAGAAAAATTTTTTGAGTAAATAATTTAACGTTTTGCTTTTAAAATTCCATCTATGACTACAACGACCTTAAAAGACACACACACACACACACACACACACACTCTGCAACCAGACTGTTTATGTGAAACTATATTCTACTGGAAACCACAGTCTAGTTCAGAGACAATTATTTTGTTTTCAATCCCTCCCCCCAAAAAGGTAAAGCAAGTTGTCACAACCTTCTGCAAATCAAGTCAACGATTTCAACTGCTAGACTTTGTTAGACTGTTTCTATTAGGAACAAATACACACCATCGACAAACTTCACCTGTACATTTAAGAACAACTGTGGGTAATTATTTCCCCTCCACTGACAACAAAGGTGTCCATCTCACACACTTGTACCTCTCAGTACTATTTAAGGCAACCGGATGCAAAACAATTTATCCTGCGGCTACCCACACTCAAGAGGGCAAAGGTATACCAAGGAAGGCCAGCTGAGCATTCGTCTCCAGGGATCAAAGAGACACAAGCTTGGCGTTTCTAAGTGTCACCTGGAGCTCTAACAACAGGCGGCGGCGTCTGTGGTTTAGGTGCACAACACCCAGTGTCTCCGGTTCTGCTCCGCATCGGGCCAACTCCCTCAAGGAGTCGGGGGCACGTCTTTTCCTTAAGGCCGGGGGCGCCGGCTAGACCCCGGGCCCAACAGGTGCAGGTGCTGGTCGGCCCGGGAGCGCCCCCTCACGTACCTTTGAGGCGTGTTGAGGAGCCGCTGCTGCTCGTCGCCTTCCTCCTCATCTTCGTCTGTTTCGGAGTCGGGGTGACAGTAGCAGAAGGCCCCGCTGCTCCGCTTGCGTTTGCGGCTGCCCGGGCAGTAACAGAAGCCGGGGCCCGCCGCGTCGCCGCC